AAATGCCACCACCAACACTAACCATCATCATTATCATCATTATCATTTTTACTAGAATATTTATCATCATCATCACCTTCATTGCTCATAAATGCACCACCACCAAAATCTTTATGCCACAATCATCAATCATCAATCATCACCAACACCTAAAATTCTACTGTCATCGTCATCACCACCCACCATGATCACAATCATGATCATTCACATCATCACATTGTCATTTTCATCAACACCACGACCACCATCATTAATTCATTTGTATTACTGCATAATTTCAATAATAACTATGTACATACTTTGCACAAACAACATACATACTTCTAGTCTGAGGATCCCAAAGTTCAAATTATTAGTCGTAAAGAGCTCTTTATCATAATGAAAAATACATATCTTACCAAGGCATGTAAGATGCAGCTATGAAGAAATAGATAATTCCACGATCACATAAATGAAGAATATGTCTCAAATTCCTATAAAATACAAAAAGTCCATCAACAACTATGGACAACATTCAGAAGAAGAGAAAAACCCTTGGCTTAGTAAACCCATAAAATATTCTTTATGGGCTACATGTAGTGACCAAGTTGAACTATGCATTTTTCAATTGGAGGCTATGTTGCTGCCATGTTAGTGGTGTTCAACAAAGGATTTCTTATTAGCTCCCACTGTTAATACCACTAACTTGGCCATCATGTCCTTGTCATTCGACACATAAAAATCTCTTGACATTGCTTGCAAACTATCGATAGACCTCTTTACCTTGGGCACATTATTTTCTCATTTCAGACAATGTGTCATTCCCTAGAGTATTAGTTCTTTGTTAAAAGTTGTGCATGAAAAGACACATGAATATGGATTCAGCTCAAGTAAAGAATCTTATTCTCAAGATATAGATACTTGGTCTGAAATAGAAAAACATTATTCCCAAGTGAACAATTTGAAAATATTTATTTTTCTCTGAAATGTTATTATATTATACTTAAAACACAAGAATAAGCCATGCAAGCAAGCCCTTCTCATACCTTAATCTTCCACTCAGTGAAATAACATGAAAGAAGGTGGATATTGAAAAGATAAGAACAAGAGAGATGCCATACACCCAAGCTATAGCTTTATGGCTGTAGGACTTATCAAGTGCCAGATGATGAAGAGTATCCATTGCTTGGTAAGCAGGTACAACAAAAAACTAGAAAGTGAAGAGCAGACAGTCATCATGAATAAAACACTTTATCAAGGTGTTTAAACTGCAACTTTCCCTTCCCTCCTTTTCTTCCTTTTTTCCCATACATTTTCTCCCCTCCACTTTTTTTGCATTTCCTCTATCTTCTCCTTTGACATGCACCAGAGAATAAAATGTAGTTACTCTTACAATTTCAAGTTTTTGTCTTAAAAATAATAGATGAAATAAAAACTTGATTTTTAGAAGGCATGCAGCTCAGCCTCTTACACCTGTCCTTAATTTTCATATTAGTAATATTTACCATTTAAGGGCCGGGTAAAGTATCCTAAATTATATATTATATATTACCACTATTTTCGATTTCACTGCAACAGGGAAATTAGGCAATACACTGCTGTCAATCATAGAAGTTATCGGAAACTAGTTTAACATGCACAGTCTAACAGCTAGTTTATCAGCTGACAGACAGTAGTCTATTGCCTGATTTTCCTGTCGTGCCACTGTTGTTTCATCAGCGCATAGTAGTGAAAACAGTAGTAATGAATTCGAAAATACACCTGCTATGTGCTGGAACATCTATATTGGTTAAAACTGCTTATTTACTTACTCCATGAGTTATAATATTTGCAATTTGTTCTTGAGATGTTGGTATATAAGCTTCTCCTGGTTTTGCAGGAGGATTTCGGTATCTATGAGACAGAAAGAAAACATTCTATTTATTCAAAATCCAATACAACATTATGTCATATCAAAGATAAATGTATGGACACCTTTATTAGCGTCCCGGAAGTCCAAATCTCCGAACTTTGGACCATCTTTCAACACTTAGAAAATTATGTGGTATCAAATTTAAAGATTTTAGTTTCGTTTTTTCAGAAGCTAAACCATGAAACTAAAAGTTTATATTGTGTTAAACGGTACGTGTTAATAGAAAAATTGAACTTGCAATTAATAGACCAAAAATCCCTTGCCAATATCATGGTTGTTTGGAGCCAATTTTCGGGTTTAATTTTTTGGGGGAAAAGCGCGAAAAAGACTTAAAATTACAACCATTCTTACAATTTAATGATAATGCAAAGAAAAAAACAGACATCTTATTCAGAGTAAAGCAATATAAGCTAATAATATTACCTTGACAAATCTACAAGTCTCTTCATCATGAACGCGTTTAGTTGAAGTGGGAAAACTGCTCGAATGTTTCACATAGATTCTACGACCCTCGCCATTTTTTTCGTTGAATTACAAGCGTTCAGTAATGAAAGGTTAGAGCAGTCTGTCGGCCAAAATTCCTTTCTACATTTTATAAGAGCTTTATATTCGCTTTGTGGTATAATGTAATGACAACCGAATGTATATAAATTAATGATTTACAATTAACAGCAGGCGTTATGAATCAAACTGAGAGGAGCATGGCACTAGCTCCTATGAACCCGTACATTTCTTTTCTTTTCTTCTTCTTCTTTTTTTTTCTTTTTTTCTTTTCTTGATTCATCTCATCTTTTCTTTTTTTTTATATATATATAATAAACCTCTTAAAAACTATGGATTGTTTCTGTAAAAAGGTGTGGGTTTGAGAATAAACTTAAAGTTTTTCCTTTTTTCTCTCCCATCCCTATATATATTTTTCTTTTATATTTCCTTCTTTGAAAAAGGATAGTACAACATTTTCTACAATATTCATTTTCCCCATTTTTCTCATCATTATCATTGTATTTATTAACTACATATGAAAATATTCTTTAAACGAAAAAAAGTCAATACAGGCGTTTTATAATAAACAAATATTTACATCACTATGTGTAAATAAAATTGAACAATTTTTGTTTAAAACGATTACTGTTTTAAAATGATTATTTGAGAAATAATCAATTATTATGATGATTCAATGATGATAATGAATGATGATGATGATACTAGTGCCTGCAGGTATCCCAGCCAGCGGTTGTCATGTAGTTGTTCATGCGTACTATCAAAGTTCGGGACATTTATTTATTTTTTCCCACTTTGATTAGAAAAATACACACAGAAATCAATAATATTAAACTAGTAAGAGCTTAAATCCAGCCATAAAACCCTGGCCATGAGTGCCGCAGAGCTGAAAGACCAAGGTAATCGCCTGTTCAGTGCTAAACAGTTTGATGACGCCGTCCAGTGCTATACTAAAGCTATCGTAAGTCGACTACAACACTGAAAAATACTTTGAAAAAGTAAAAATAATGAATGTTCCTCAAAACAAAATATTTTATTCGATCGCAAGTAGATGCCTTTTACGATTTGTGTTTGGGCGTCTTAATGCGTCATTTAGAATCCTAGTCGCTAGGTTTTTGTGATTTTGAAGCTGTTCAATTTAAAATATTTGGGTGCTGTTAGATGTACCAAAATATTTTTGAATCTGTTTTGTGTAATTTTATTGCTCTCGTGTCAACCTTGTATCGTTTTTTTCCCCTTTAACACCTTAAGACTGTTTTAGATGAGCTTAAATATGCCATAAAGCTATCAGTAACCATCA